GTTGGTAAAATGAGGACCCAGATTGTTGGGGGGGGGCAATATATTGACTCTGTAAACCGCTTAGAGAGCTGTAAAGCACTGTGAAGTGGTATATAAGTCTAAGTGCTATTGCAAATCTTGCCATTCTGATTTTGCTGTATCTCCTTCCTCTTCTTATATTCCTGTGAATTATGGAGGTGTCTGCCTGAGTCATTCCCAATGTTATATTTTCAAAAAGCTTCAGATCCTTCTGCCTAGGCAACGGCTCTTGCACATGTCCATCAACATCATCTCTCATACTCTCCACAGTAGTTCAGGTAGTCCATACAAACAGATTCATCAACTCCACTGTTCGTCTTCCATCAAAAATGCAGCAAGCAAACTGGTAATTTTCTAAAGGGTGACAAGAGCCCCCATTACCACTTGCTTTCTGCAGGCAACAAAGACGCCTTTTCTAGTCTCCAGAGTGCCATCTTCCCCCTGTCTTCTGTATGTTACTATTTAAACGATTTTGCTTTTTATTTGAAAATAGTTAAGATGATAACAGTAACTATGCCTTGTTTTATAAATCTTCTTGGGCATCCAATACATGCTGAAGATGATCACGTGTTCTAAGGCCAGCTCTGTTGTGTCAAAAATGTTTATGGAAGACATTTCCTCTTTTGTCCTAGAGTTTCTGAAAATATAATGGTCCCTCAGTACTCTTTGTTAATTGTTTCCAAGAGGCACAAGGAGTACCAAAAATGATGAGTACCAAACAAATTTTTCCCATAAAGAATAATATAGTGAGTCACAAAGCAGCCGACACCAACAAGTTCTAGCTTGTGCATAGAGTTCTAAACAAACGATGAATACCAGGACAAAATTTGTACATCAAAATGCATTGAGTACCAAATTCAGTAAGTTTCAAAGTTCAATACCAAGATACCACTATATGAATCTCAAAACTGTAAGGTGAGCTTTTTGCCCATCAAAAAGTTTTATCCACTAGTGAGTTTCTTGCACTAGTCAATTATATTTGTTTACTTGCGCTTTTTTTCCTTCCCAAATGTGTTAGGGATATGAATCAATAGTTGACAGTTACCTCTGCAAATTTATGCCATAATCCCAACAAGGATATAGCACAAATCGATTACATCTGTGGCAGGCAAAAACATTTCTGACACTAGTGGCAGGCAAAAAGGAGTAGGAGCCTGCATTTGATATACCGAGTATATATACAAAAAAGTATAGTATTTACTTTTTTTCCTTACTGCTGGGAGCAAATTTGTTTTATATCTATATATCTAAAACTTTTACCATGTTACAATGAAGAAAAAATTGGATAAGGCCAGGCAGGTGCAAGACTCACAAAGCAGCAAGCTAATGATAAAAGTTAAGAGAACTAAAATCTCATCATTAACAGGAACAGGATTCAGACAGTGATGAATATCTGAGATGCCCTTTAACTAAGTCAGATGTATGGGTCATCTAGACCAGTGTTTCTCAACGTAGCACTTTTAAGATGCATAGACTTCAGCTCAACTTCAACTTCGACTGGGGAATTCTGGAAGTCCAGACATCTTAAAGTTGTCATGATTGAAAATATTGGTCTACAGTAGACTGTAGAAAAGCCTGAAACTTCAACTTCCAGACATCCTACTTAGCATCTCCAAAGAAAATTGAAGTCTCGGTGCAATTGAAGGATGAAAACTAGCCCATTCCGATACTGTCCTCCTGCTGTACTGCAGTGGCTTTTAAGGTAATGTAAACCACATGATCTACCATTCAATTATAATTCCTTCCCATATGTGCACTTTCCTCTTCCTCACCTGGTGGAGAGGATATTTGTTAGTGTATATTCACAAATGCAGATTCACATGATAGATACAATGTAGGAAAACTATTGATGATGATGTTATCCATTCAGTCATGTCTGACTCTTGGCAGTTCTACGGGCCAGGTCCAGTGGTGGGATTCAGCCAGTTTGCACCACTTCGGCAGAACTGGTAGCTAATTTTTTGTTGCCCGAGCCCAGAATAGACTTCTGGAAGTGGCATCCACCCAGATAACTGGTTGTTCACATATCTGAATCCCACCCCTGGCCAGGTCTTTCCACCTCTTCCGATCTTGCACTACTTGTTTAAGTTTTTCTATGGTCTGACTGGTGTCAGCTTTGATGATGACCAGCCATCATGTTCTTCAGCAGACTGGTTTCCTTTTCCCGCTAACTCTTCCCAACATAATTGCTTTCTCCGGTGAACAGGAAGACTAATAACTGTCTGCCATAGATGAGAACTTTGTCTGAAGGGTACATTGTTATTGAAGTTTAAACCAAGCAGCCATTTGTGTAGGCAAACATTTGGGCCACCCTGAATGGAAGCAGTATTTCTTATCATTTTTTTCTTCCTCATTTTTTTCCCATAAGTGCAAGGTCTGCTTGTTTCCTATCAATCAAATGTTGATCCATGTGGTTGCAACAGAAATTGACCAACCAGCTTGTCAAATGAGCCTGATGCCATGGTCTGAGGCTGACTGGCTCAAAATCATTCAACTTCATGCCTAAAGCAGGACTAGAACTCACAGTCTGCTGGTTTCTTGCCTAGTGCCTTAACCACTAGACTAAACTTCATTACCATCTATGTGATACGTCTACCAGTTGCACATTAAAAAGCCTACAATGGTCCTGCTATCAAAGGGCAAAAATGTGTCAACCTGGAAATCATTATAGATTTGCTTTCAGCAATACTAATGTACTATCCCATCCGGTGCTAAATGTGATTTCCAGAAATAATTAAAATAGTTTTTCCCAAGGCTTTTTTTCTCATAGAATGGAGTTCCGCACCTTTTTTGGATGGAACCTTGTAGGGTAGGCAAGGCATGTTGTATGACATGTGTGAGTTCCAGCACCTTTTTTTTTTTTTAAGAAAAAAAGCACTGTTTTTTTCCATCTGGCCCATATCTGAAGTAGAAGTAGTTTAATGAAGAGAAGGACGAGGGGGGACATAATAGCAGTGTTCCAATATCTCAGGGGCTGCCACAAAGAAGAGGAAGTCAAGCTATTCTCCAAAGTGCCTGAAGACAGGACTAGAAGCAACGGATGAAAACTAACCAAAGAGAAAAGCAACCTAGAACTAAGGAGAAATTGTCTTGAAAGTTAGAACAATTAATCAGTGGAACAACCTGCATCCAGAAGTAATGAATGCTCCAACACTGGAAGTTTTTAAGAAGAGACTGGACAGCCATCTGTCAGAAATGGTATCGAGTTTCCTGCCTGAGCAGGGGGTTGGACTTGATGACCTCCAAGGTCCCTTCCAACTATTATTATTATTATTATTATTATTAATTATTAACTTCTCTGCTAGAATTTCAGGATATGCTGCTGGGCCTCCCTCCTTTTATACCAGAGAAAGTTCCAGATAGGATATCAAATATCAAATATTCTTTTTTTATTTTATTTTGCCTGTAATAGGTCACTAAAATCCAGGCATTCCAGTTTTGTAGTACTATTTTGGGATGTGAGGGGCTTTTCTCCTGCTCAGTCTCTGTTTCAATCTCTTCTAGTTGGTTGAGTAAGTAAGTAATTGTTTAGTTCAGTGAAATTGTTCTGTTGTGTGTTTCTTCTGTGTGACAGCATGCATTTCATATGCATCTAGGTGTTTTTGCTGTGATTTTATTTTTGGACCATATATCTAATAAAGCTGTTGTTGTTTGGCTGGAAGCAACTTTGAACAATAGTTGAGGAGGGTGGGAGAAAGAGAGAAAGACAAATTTAATAAATTCTCCCAATAATTGAATTAATTAAGCTCCATTTCTTGAGTTTCTGATCTTACATTCCTGGGAGGAGAGGAAGAAAAAAAGAAACCATGTTAGAGGAAACAAGGGCCTTTGGCTGTCAGATAAATAAATGCAAACCTAATGAGGTTACATGATGGAAATGGTCAATAGAGCAATGTTTAGCTGGTTATTGAATTAATTCATTTTTGAGCTCACCTAATATGCTGTACTATAGCAGTCAAATGGCATGGATCTCATCAAATTCTAAACCATGAAAAATTTTAAAAGGAATCAAAGTTAATATTAACCAGGCTTGTGCATATTCATCCATCAGGTCTTTCCCAAACTTGATTAAGTGTATTAGATGAATGAATCCTGCTTATGACTTTTCTTTCCCCAATAGTGCAGTGCTTAAAGATACAGGCATACCACCCTAACCTCTGTGTATGTGTGTGTGTGTTTGTGAGAAAGAGAGAGAGAGAGAGAGAGAGAATTTCTCAGTCTCTTCTACAAGAACTAATTGCTAACTCTAATGCCACCTATTTAAAATTATTGGGGTTTTAACCTCCCTTTGAACTAACTTGATTTGAGAAGACACTTTCTTCGAAGCAATGACCAAGCAAATATGCAGCCTCAAGGATTCAGCATATAAAAGGCTGTGATTATCCACACAAAAAGGAGATGCCAGCTGGTGTTCTAATTGCCCAGGAAGTGGGTTACTAAGCAAGCTTCTCCTTACCCAATTTGCTATTTCCCCAGGGGGGGATGTAGCCACACAATTCACTCTCTGCAGACTGCAATCACTCCTGCTCAAAGCCCAGTTCAAAATATCTTATTATTAGTAAACTGTTATGATTCCAAATTGATGGACGTGGCAGAGTCCAAGCAATATCATCATCATTGTCGTCATCACCATCACAGCAACAATAATAGTAATTGCTGCAACAGAAGCTCTAAGTTGATTATACAATTTCCCCTGAAATCATTTTCTTTTAATAGATGGTTTTGTTTTCCCACCAAAATAATAGCTCCAAGCATGGGGGCTTTTCTCAATCACTATTCTCTAGGCAATCAATGCACAATATAATGAGATGTTAGACATTTGTAAAAATGTACCTAGGATATATGCTTCATATTTGCTTTAGCTTTAAACTGAGCTTTTCTCGCGTGTATGTGTGTGTGTGTGTGTGTGTGTGTGTGTGTGTGTATGCAATTCAAATAGGAATAGCTAGTTACCAAGGAGACACACAGATACACACACACACACACACACACACACACACACACACCGATGAATCAGAGAGACCAACCGGTTTAAGATTTTGGCATTACTATATCTTCTTAATTCAAGAGACCATAACGTTTTAAATGGGAAGGAGGCGGAGAGAGAAGGGAATATGAGACAAGTCAGAACGACGTGCATGTTGCCTTCCAGCACCAAGGACAGCTCCGATTGTTTTGCCGGAGAAAGGAATTAGCCAGGAAAAGATGTAAGATGTCAACGAATTGAAGTAAGAATTCTCCAGAGCACTCTTGAGTTTGGAATTTGAAGGGAGCAGAGGGAGAATCAAACGAGAAATGCAATGCAAGGGCAAGAACAACCCAGATGGAACTGATTAAAAGCAAAGCTGAGAAGGCTTTATTTGCATCTAGGGGTGAAGAACAAAACCATGAGCCCCTGGAGAGGGATCTTGGTTACTCCACATTCTTGGTGCTTCCGCCAAGAGAAGCCGGGTGCTGTTTCTTCCTGCAGTTTTCTAGAGAGAGAAAGGTGGGGCTGAGATGTTTTTAAAACAAATTCTTCGTTTCAAGAATTGCTAAGGAAGGAGAAATGCTGATCTGGATTCAGTGTTGGTTCGTATCGGTCTTTCGAAGGATTCCGATTGCTGTTTGAAATTCTGGCACCGAACCTTTCTCTGCTTGCCTGCCGTTTCCACCCTGTTTCAGCAAATGGCAGGTGAAATGATGGATTTGGCAAAAGAAACCTAATAGAATCTGAAGCCTGGCGTTCCTTCCCTGCCAACCATAACATCAATGAAACCTAGAAGAAGATCAGCTAACTAAAGAGATGTGAACACAGCTGAAGATGAATGGAATATTCAGAGATGTGGCAATCCCCAAAAACTTCACTTAGACAAAGTTTGACTGAGAACAACTCAGCTCTTCTAGACTCTCCGGTTTCAATGGAGTTTCTTGTCCCCGCAAGTGGATTGGTTTTGTTGCTTTTAAGACAGTTCTTAACTTTTTGCTGCCCCATTTTGTCATATTTTTCACCCTCTTGGTTTAGAAACAAATCTTTCAAGACAAATTTCTTTGGAATGGTGAAAAAAGCACCAGAACAATAAAACATCTGCATGTGAAGACTTATGAATACTTCCCACATAGCTTGATTTCTCCTTGAAGGTGAAAACAGCAGAAGTGTGTAGATTAAAGGAAAGATTAACTTATCCACCCAGAACCTACTAAAACCTCCATGTTGAAACAGCTGGACCACAGTTGCTAAGGTAACTGAGCAATTAAAAAATGTTTAATAAAATAGGGACAAGTTTAACTGTATGACTGAAGGTCTATAGGATCAAGAGAATGGTTCTGTGCTTCAACTGTCTCTAGGAATGAGTAGATAGCATGATTCTTAAAATAAGGAAATTAAATGAGGGAATATTCATTAGCTTGTTTTAGAAATAAATTGAGGGTTTTTTTTAAAGGCAACTACTTTCAAAAATTATTTTTCTTATAGTTGGTCACACAGCAAGAAGTTTAGACTGAATTTGGCATTTTTATATCATTGTTATCATTGTTTATATATTGTTTTCTGATGTGACTTATTCTTAAAATATCACACTAGCTATAGCAATGACAAAGTCAAACTAGTAACTAATACTATTCTTCAGATTGTTCTGGCAAGAGAGGTAAAGGCAATAAGATAAAGAGTATTTCTGGAAAATAAAAACAGTCCCAGTTTACGAGAGCACATTATGATATAAATTTGGAGGGAGGAATGTACCTCAAAGGCCAAAATGAATGATTGTTGAAACAACATAAGAATATTAAGTTTGGAACAAGGAGAGAGGTTAAACCAAACAATAGCTTAAAAGCTAATCACTAAATCCCCCTCAGAATTTTTTTAAAGATATATTATGCCAACTTCGGGGGGGGGGGGAACTGCAAGATCCAAGTAGGATGTTTTATTTTTACAAGGCATTTTGAGCACTTTCTGATTAAAGAGATATAAGCTCAGAATGTCCTACAAACTCTTCTGATCTTTTGATTGCAATAACATACTGAGTTTGGTCCTTCAAACATTTTTATAGATTTCCTTATTATTTTGGCTCAGATAACAATTGTGTATTTGTGCCATTTATTTAACTCTCCTTTAATGCCTGCAGTGCCATCCTAAGCATTACCACCAAGTCAGAAATAATGGGCATTAAATTTACCTGATCTGAATTCATGCTAAGAAAGGCACATTCAATTTAGTGAGATTTCCAGGGTCAGGACAATTTAGCTTTGATTGACATGCACACTTCATTAGCAACCTTATCAGAAAATATTAATTTAAATAATATTCACAATTATCTGCCTTAACAATGGCTTTAAGGTTGACAAAAACCAACTGCCAATGATATTGATGCCATTTAATTTTAGCTTACACTTAAGTGTAGACTGTAATCAGTTAAATAGGAAGGAATCATCTAAAACTGGCTGTTTTTCTATTTTGTTCCAAGGTCAACCAGAAAGGCAAAGTTTCAAGGAAGTATTCATTTCTAGCTTACACGTAATATTTGAGAGGCTTATTATCTTCATTGGTTTGATTTGAAAGTAACCCTGTGTGGACTTTATGGAGGATATTTCTATGGCAGGATTAATTTCAAAAATAAAATTGGAATGTTTACATTCGAATTTGATACCAAATAAATCAGCTTTTTACACCAGTGTCCATCTTCTGTTTGATACACTAATTCTGTACAGGAATAGGATCTGGGTTTTTTTATTTCAGGCTTTAAAGATTGCTATAATATTTTGAATCTGTTGTAGGAACCATACAGTAGTCTTTTTTTGTGTGTTCTGGTCTTTGATATGGTGGTCTCTATATAACCTGTTAAACTTCCACCGACTTTCATGCAAGTGTAGTACATAGTGAAATGCTATCAATTAATTATCCAATGTCCCTCTGTAAGAATCATCTGTGATTCTAGCAAGAGCAGGGAAATGATAAAGAGATGGGAGTCTTGTATTTGGCACCATCAATTTTGGAAAGTTTTACTTGGCAACTGTCCTAAAGTGAAAATCTGAAGGCTAATCAAGATGTAAGCTCACTGTGTTGTGTGCTCTGTGGATGTTGCATGCTTCTGGGGAATGACACATGGCCTTAGTCCACTCACCCAAAAAGCAACTTGATCCAGAATGGAAGAGCGAGCATGCCCAGCACTTGCTCAATGATCAGGGTATTATTCCTATGGGTTGAGAAGTCAATTGCCAGACTTGTCCCGATGTCTGAAGAGGTTTTACCAGGAAAAGCTACCATTGAGGAAAGGGAGAAGTTGCCAAAGCGACTCAACTTACATGACTTTTCCAAACATGGGTAAACTACATTTCTTTTTCTTTCTTTCTTTCTTTCTCTTTCTTTCTTTTTCTTTCCATTTTTGTCTCGCTCTCTCTTATTCGTTTCTTCTTTCTCCCTTTCTTCCTTTCTCTCTCTCTCTCTTTCTCCTTCCTTCCTTCCTTCCTGCCTTCCTTCCTTCCTGCCTTCCTGTCTTGTTTTCTCTTATAAAAAACGTTCCTAAATCCTGATATCACACTTCAGGATTGTGAAAAAGGACTCTCTTTTTTCATCCGAAAAGTTGTGGCTTGAAGGAGGAAACAAACCATTTGAAATTGATTGCCAGTTCTAGCATATATAGGTTCTGTTCAGAAATTTCAGATAAGGGCAAAAATTAAAATGGCCCAAAGCAACCAAAATATTGTTTATTTGCTTATTTGTTTAAATGGTCTGTCCTAAGTTCGGTCAGAGAAGCTGCATGTTGTTTTCTGGGAAGAAAATGATGCTGCCCCACATTTGAAGAACCATGGAAAATTGTTGTTGATCCAGCTCTTGACTCTTGAAAAGATGGGAAGTATATGGAACAAAGTAGAAGGAAGGAGCTGCCTGTTGGCTGGATTTTGCATTCTTTCATCTCCAGTGAATGTGGAAATTTTTTATCAACCGAGTAATAAAGGAGAAATAAGTACATTCCAAGCTGATAGAGATTGTGTGCCAACACCTAGAATGCAGGATTTTAAGAAATTTGTACTTAATCATGAGCCTGAAAAATGTTTTTGTTTGGAGACCAAGAAGCAGTTTAATTCTGGGTGTAGTGTTGAGATATTTAGCACTGTAGAAATAATATTCAGGGTTTTTTTCAGCAGGATTCTCTACTCTTTGATTACTTTGAACATATTGAAAATAAGTTTCAAGGCTAGAAACAGGTCCTGGAAATGATCTCCAATTAGTGTCATTTTTGTTGCCACTAAAATAAGAGAGTTAAATCACTGCTGTACAGTATATAAAATAACTCATCTGATAGCTTTGGGATGGCGGAAGACTTAAGTTTTAAAAATGAACAACAAGGAATGCACAAGATGGAGAATTGGACATAGTTGGCTGTGATTGAATAAAAAAAAAATACACCCAGCGCAACACTGGGTTAGGATAACAAAATAATCATTTAGTAACACTATAACAACTTATGCAAAAGTTTTCCACTAATATTATTGGCAAGTACTATTTGCTGAAAATATTTGGGTGCAAGAGGGACAGTGAATTTGAAGTTGTAATCTTCAAATGGAAGACAATATCCATTGAGCTGTTTTTTAAATAAGACTATTTTGTCCATCCCTGAGAATTCTCCAGGTTGGTCACACTTTCATGCCTTGAAATGAGTCCGAAAAAGGAGATCCCTTTACAGAACCTCCAATTCCTCCTTTGGTGGGCATTATTCTTTTTGGTTATCTTTTAATTAAAATGTATTGAATAGGAAGCTGGCTTGCTGAGAAGCAAAATATTGAATAGCATCAGTCTGTTAATCAATTCTTAGAAAAATATGGCTCCTTGTTTGTTGCTTAAAAGACTAAAAGGGGTACCATGGAACAAACCAGTTTACCTTATGGTAATCTTGTGTTTTCCTAAAAATACAGAATCCTGAGTTGGAAAGACAATTCAATCCAACTTTCCGCTCAGAACAAAACTCCAATTCAAAGCATACCTGGTGGATGTTAATCAGTTGCATCATCAGATTGATCTTTCTGGTAATTTTTCTCTAAGTTTCACTCTGGGTGGTCAAGATCACAGTATTCTTTTATATACACCCCTTTGTCTGGAAATGCATTAAGTGACCGAGCTTGTCTGGGCTGATTCTTGCTTCCATGTAACTTTTTCTCCTGCCGTTCCCCAATAGGATATGTCCTTTCTTGGGGTTACAAATATCATCATGCTTTTCCACTTATACGAAACCTTCCAAAATGCTTCTCTAACTTTACCCAGTGTGGGTGCAAGCACTGGAAACAATCAAGGGACAATCAACCAGTTTCTCCATGCCATTGAGTTCTTGGGTCAGATGCACTGGTGAAGGCGAAGTTGGCATTCTTTTGCTTCTCTACTACAAATCTGAAAGTTTGCTAAGTAGATTGACATGCATGTTCCCCATAGCATAACTGAGTGGGCTGTCACTGAAAACAGCATCAGTAGTAGAGCTATCAGATGTATTTCTGCGAAACTTTAAGGCAGAGGTCCCCAACCTTTTGAGCACCAGGGATCAGTTCAATGGAGAGAAGTTTTTCTGCGGACCGAAGGGTGTGTGATTTTGTGTGCTGCCTGCATCCCACAGATAGGGCTTTGCTTGTTTGTGCGGGCTGGTTGCTGCCATGCCATGGACTGGTACTGGTCCACGGACCAGGGATTGGGGACCCCTGCTCTAAGAAAACTAGTGTCAAAATATGATATCTGAGCTGTGACCTTTAAGTCAGCACTGAAATGATGACAAAGGTACATATAGAAGAGACTGTTTGTAACCCAGAGTTGAACTGTGGAGTCCTTAGTGCTATCTGAGCTTGGTTGTTTTCTTGCAGGCATTTCATTACCCAACTAGGTAACATCATCAGTGCCAGAATGGAGTGGTGTTTGCTCTCTGTTATATACAAATGGTTTGCCCTGTCACTGTTGGTGGGAATGTTGTTTTCTTCTTGGTAGTTCCTTGATTAGGCTGTTCTTTACTATTTGATTGTGTGTCTGAGTTGGTAGTTCCTTGACTGAAGTATTGTTTACTGTTTGATTATTGGTCTGGTATTAATCCTGGTGTTAATCTCTGCTTATCTGGATGTTGATTGCTCTCCAGGAGGGACTTTACTATTTTCACTCCACAATACTGCCCTGCCCATCATTTTCCAGCAAGTTCCCCTCTGAATTTGAATTTTGAAATGCAGATTTCTCAGCAAGACTTTACAGTTTACCTGGCTATAATTGTGAGAA